TTCCCAGCACCCACATGGTGGCTCTCAGTCATCTGTAACTCCTGTTCACGGAGACCCAACAGCCTCTTCTGGCCTCCTTGGTCATTGGGCATGCACATGGTGCACAGATGTAGGGCAAGTATGACACCCATTCCCATAACTTAAATTTTTTTAAAATTTATTTATTTATTTATTATGTATACAATATTCTGTCTGTGTTTATGCCTGAAGGCCAGAAGAGGGCACCAAACCCCATTACAGATGGTTGTGAGCCACCATGTGGTTGCTGGGAATTGAACTCAGGACCTTTGGAAGAGCAGGCAATGCTCTTAACCTCTGAGCCATCTCTCCAGCCCCTTAAATTTTTTTAATAAGCGAAACCCCACCAAGTGTAACAATTTGCCTATTGAAGGGAGGCTTTTGGGGAGTGGGTGATGCTGGAGATTGGATGCAAGGCCTTGTACATGCCAGCCAAGATCTTCCATAACTCTTAAGGATTTTTTCCTTGTTATATTGAGACACAGTCTTATTGTAGCCCAGGCTGGCCTTGAACTTGAGATTTTGTATGAGTCTGTGCACATATATGCCACAGTGTATGCAAATACAGAGATCAGTTTGCTAGAGTGGTTTCTTTGTCTCTACCACATGAGTGCTGGAGACTGAACTCAGGCCTTCAAGCTTGGCAGCAAGCACCCTTACCCCTGAGCCACCTCACTGGCCCTGTTCCGATTTTAGTATATGTACTCTCAAAATGGGTGCTATTTCAGTAATTCTGGTGGGTTTGTAGTGGTGCTCAGTGTGATCTTAATTTATGTGTGCTTACAATTACTTATATGTACTTATTTACCATCTGTATCCCTTTATTAGTAAAATACCTCTTAGCGTTCTTGTCCTGGTTATAACAAAATATTAGGGAATAGATTATATTTGTGAAAGATACTGGTGTCCGTCAAGTTGTCGTCAGGTGTTGTGTGTTTGTATCCCCACTGCCCCCCCCCCCCCCGCACCCATGCACACGTGCACATTGATTTCTGTCTTTGTCTGTACTGGGTTACACTAGCTTCATCAAGTGAACAGTGCTGTGGGAGCTCCTTCCGCTCCTTCAGCCAATAGCCTTTAAGATACCAGTCAGAGAGCAAGCACATGCTTTATAGCTGCATTTAAAGTATAAGAGACCATGCCCACGTGGACTGGTATCTTAAAGAACAGTCTCCTGTTCTCTGGGTGAGATTGTAAAGAATTGGCACTACCTCTCCTGTCCATGAGCTGATTCAGTGGAACCATCAGGCCTGGAGAGTTCAGACTATAAACCTGATTTCCTTATGAGCTATAGTCTCTATTCATTTGGGATTGAGTGACTTGTAGGGATAGATGTTCTTTTTCTCTATTTTAGGAATTGGTCTATTTACTATAAGTGATCAAATTTATATTTAGAGTTGTTCATAGTATTAGTTTTTTCTTTTGATAGCTATGGGGATTTTAGGGATATCTGTTTCATTATCTTTTGGTAGGGGGTCGTTTGAAACAAGATTTTACTGTGTAGCCCAGGGTGGAGCTTGTGATCTTCTTGCCTCTACTTCCCAGGCACTAGGATTACAGGTGTCTGCATCCCTACCAGGTCTCATGCAGTGTTGAAAGCTGACTTGGAACTTCATCCGTCCTAGTCAGCATCCTACCAAGGTGGCTTCTCCAGCACATAAGTACCATGGCGTTGGTGTTGTCGTTGTTTTGGGCTTCTTTGAAACAAGGTTTCTCTGTGTAGCCCTGGATATCATAGAACTCACTTTGAAGACCAGGCTGGCCTCAAATTCAGAGATCTTCTTGCCTCTGCCTCCCGAGTGCTGGGACCAAAGGCGTATGCCACCATTGCCTGACTTAATCTAGAGAGTTTCTCGCTGAGCCTCCTTTCCCAGGTGATTCTGGGTTGTGTCAAGCTGATTAGACCCTAATTAGAACCATCACTGTTTCCAATCCACTCTCCTCCTTACTAACTGCTAAGATTAACCTGTACCTAGCAATTGTCTTAGTTTTCTTGACTAAGATTGGTGGTACATGCCTCTAATCCTAGTACAAAGACAGGCAGATCTCTGAGGTCAAAGCCAGCTTGGTCTGCATAGCAAATTCTAGGTTACATAGTGAGAACTAGTCTCAAAAAGGTGTGTGCCACCACACCTGACATACCTTTTTTTAAAGGACAGATAAAATTGTATTATTTGAGGTATGTGTATAGTGTGGAATGATGGATCTAGCTAAGCAGCATATGCATGGCCTCACACAGTTATCATTTTTGTGGTGAGAGTGGGCAGGGAGGCGGGAGAGATGCTCAGAGTCTAAGAGCACTGACTGCTCTTGCAGAGGACCTGGCTTTGGTTCCCACCACCCACATGGAGACTCAACTGTCTGTACCAGTTCCGATGATTTGGTGCCCTCTTCTGGCCCCCAAGAGCATTGCACACAAATGCTACACATCCATATCTGCAAGAAAAGCACTTATTCACATAAAATAAAAATAAAGAAATCCTTTCTAAGCAAACAAACTTCTGGAGCTGGGGTAAAGTGCAATCTTGAGGACCTGAGTTTGACCCTTGGTGGCAGCATGTGCCTGTAATCTCAGTAAGCGAGGGCAGAGACAGGAGGATTTGGGAGCGCTTTGCTGGCTTTCCAACCTAGCTCCAGGTTTAGTGAGTAACTTTGTCTCAAGAAATAAGGTGGATTTAGGCAGGGCCCTGTGAGTTCAAGGACAGCCTGCTCTAAATAGTGAGTTTCAAGATAACCAGGGCTACATAGTGAGACCTTGCCAGAGGGGAAGGGGATGAGGAAAATACCTGAGGTTAACCCTGGACTTCAACCTGCACACACACACACACAACACAACACTGTAATCTACATTCTTAATCTTTTTTTCCCATTTATGATGATCACCAGTCTTGGTGGCAAAAGGCCTTTACCTTCAGAGCCATCTTGATGAGTCTGCTTCTTTGTTGTTTTTCATATCAGTTTGATTTAATTTATTTTGAGACAAGGTCTTACTCTCTACCTCTGTGGCCTGGAGTTTGCTCCATAGACCAGTCTGCCCTCAAATGCAGATCTAGCTGTTTGTGCCTCCTGGCACTAGCTCAATGTCGCTTTCCTCCTTGGGATGCCCAGCACATCCATCTTCTCTTGGGGTCTGGGGTGTAGCTGGGTGGAGTCTAACATGGACAAGTAGCCTGGGTTCCATCCCAGCACTGCAAGAAAACCAGAAAGGAAGAAAGCAGGAGTTTCCATCTCTGTTCTTCTCCCTCATGCTGCCTCCCTCTGACTGTCAGCCCCTTCCCTTCCCCATTTGAACTGAGGCCCAGAGTGGCTAAGTCCCCATGCATCCTAAATTTCTAGCCGCCTGCTTTTCTCTCACTTTTGTTTTCCTCTCTGAGGTTTTTAGTTGTCCCCACAGGTGTTTAGTCTACCCTGAGTTAGCAAAGTCGCCTTCGTCCTTTGAAATTACTCTGATCTCAGAGTGAAATACTTGTTATCTTGCCTTCTGTAATTTGGATCATTTCCAAATGGCTAATAGAGGCTTGGTTGTATTCAGGTTTTGTTTCTTTGTTTGCCGTGTGCTTGTTTGTTTTTTAGAAATGTGTATTCTAGGCTGGCCTCGAATTGATGATCTTCCTGCCTCAGCCTGTTAAGTGCTTAAATTATGTGTGAGTGAGTGTGTGTCTGTCTGTCTGTGTCTCAGTGTGTGTGTGTGTATGTATGTGTGTGCATTCATGTGTATATGTATGTGTGTATGTACATACGTATATGTGTATATATATGTGTGTGCATGTGGGTCTTTATGTTTGTGTGTACGTGTGTATGTACATATGTATATGTGTCTGCATTTATATATGTGTGTGTGCACACGCATGTGTGTCTCTGTGTATGTTTGTGTGTATGTACATATGCATGTGTGTGTGCATGTATGTGTATATTTATATGTATGTGTGCGCGTGCATGTGGGTCTTTATGTATGTTTGCGTGTATGTACATGAGTGTGTGTGTGTCCACTCCCAAATTGGGACTCAGGGTTCGACTTATTGTTTGGTTTCAGAAGGATATCCTAGTCTTCAAAAAGTTCCTGACTGTTTATCAGGGGTAGAAATTCTGGGTTCAAGAGCAGAGTGCATTGGTGTACACCTGTAATCTTAGCAGTGGGGGAAGGAAAATCAGCAGTTCAAGGCTATCCTGGACAGGGTGAGACCCAGTCTCCAAACAAACAAGCAAGCAAGAATTTTGGCTTGGAGGTGATAGTCTGGGGATAATTTCTCTGTTTTCTGGGGAAGGAGAATCAATACCCTGTGCTCCTGTGATCTGGGGCCGTGTGGAGCCATGAGCCTGTAGTCATTCTCAGGTCAGAGACATGCCAGTACCCAGGGAGACCTGATATTGGACGAGCCGAGAGCATTTCTTTGGACTTGTCTTTGTCAAGGCCTGCCAGAGAGTCCACCTTTGCTGGCTGTAGGCTCTCCAGCTAAGGGGTCTCTGTTGCTGTTGTCATTACTAGGGCAGTGTGGACGTTCTCAGGCTGACCCTCCAGGGTGAACTGACAGGAGAGGAACTTGAGCACATAGCCCAGAAGGTATCACGGTGTCTGCTGGGACGAGGCTTCCTCTCAGCCAGTTTTTCATTGCTCCTGACCCTTCCTTCACCCTGGTGTTGCCTGGAGCCACATCTGTTGCTGCAAGCCTGCGAGCATCTCCTTTCAGACACACCCAGCTAACTCAGCCTTGTGCTTTGGGAAGTGGGAGGCCCCCTCTAAAATAAAAGCTAAGCCAAGTTTTCTACTAACGTCCCCTGCCCTGTGTCCTTGTTGCTGTATGGCTGCTCTTGGGGGGCAAAGAAATCAGACTGAAGCTTCCTTAGGTGTCTGTGTGGGTTTGAGGGCAGAAGGTCCCGGTTGCTGTGTGGTTTCTGAGTCACTTCTGTCTCTCTGGCAGGCGGGCAGGAAGACTTACGCCATGGTGTCTGATCGCTCCTCTGGGAATGCTCTGGCTTCAGAACTGGTGGAGTCCCATGACGGGCACGAAGAGATCATTAAGGTGAGCTTAGTTCACGTTCCCTTTTTCTTTCTGCTTCCCCACATCCTGCAGGTATGTGAAGGGAGCTGCTGATTGACAGCTCATACACCAACAGGAGAGATCAGGGAGATGCTAGCTAGCTCCTGGTTATCTCCTGCAGCAGTTCTAACACCCAGAGTACACTCTTGTAGTTGAGCCTGGCTCCAGGCATGGGCATGAACAATTTTCCTTCTTTTTTAAAAATAACTTTAGAAGAGGCTGGGGAGTTGACTCAGTGGTTAAAAGCACTTGGTGTGCTTGTGTAGTATAGTATAGTGCCTGTGACTCTTTTAAGCCACTCCCTCCTACTTCCTGTGTCTCCCTATATGTGTCCTGGGTTCTCCAATAGCTAATTCTGGTCAGCTAGTTGCTAACTTTGCACTCTGATTCAAAGTAAACTTTATTGGCAGTCACGGAGTTTCAGTGAGAACAAATTTCTCACAACAGTCTCCTGTTATGTGTATTATACATAATACACATAATTAAAAATTTAAAGATGTGTGGCTAGGGAAATGGATTAGAGGTTAAAAGCTTAGGGTGCTCTTCCAAAGGACCTGGATTTGAGTCCCAGAACCTACATGGTAGCTTACAGTTGTCTGTAACTTCCGTGTCAGGGAGTCTAATGCCTTGCAGGGTACCAGACACGTGTGGTATACAGACAGACATGCCTGCTGGCAAAACTCCAATGCACATAAAAAATAGATAAATACTTTTTAAATTAAAAAAATGCATTTAAAAAATTAAAAATAACTTTAGAACATAATATAGAGTTGGTAATTTGCCTGTGACACTGTGAACTCGGTTAAAATGGTTAAATGATAGTGCTTACTGTAGCCTTGGAATGTGGATTCATCACCACTTTAAATTCCAGGATTTTTTTTCTTATTTTTAATTAAATACTAGGTGAGCTGGGCAGTAGTGAAATCTTTGTAAAATTCGAAGCTAGCCTGGTCTACAGAACATTTTCCAAGACAGCCAGGGCAACGCAACAAAACAAAACAAAGCAAAATTAATGACCATGTCTATGCAGTTTAGTTTTGCCTCAGACTCAGTATCCCTGGGCCTTAGCCTCCTGAATCCTGGGACTTCAGACATGCCACCAGGCCTGACTTCAGAAACATCTCCAGTTATTTCTCCAATTTCTCCAGCTCTGGCTGCAATTTAATGTCTTTTGGCCTTGCTTATTCTGGATACTTGTGTATATTATAATCAACAGCATGTGACCTATTTTCTTTAGTTTGTTTCCTTTTTCAAAATATCTATCTTAGTGGCTGGAGAGATGGCTTAGCAGTTAAGAGCACAGCTGCTCTTCCAGAGTCCTGAGTTCAATTCCCAGCAACCACATGGTGGCTCACAACCATCTGTAATGAGATCTGGTGCCTTCTTCTGGCCTACAGCATACACGCAGACAGAGTGCTGTATACATAATAAATAAATAATCTTTTAAAAATATTTATTTTAATTGATATGTTGATTCATGTACTAATGGGATTCAGTGTGAGCTTTCATATATGAATGCATTTAGCATATTTTCATGCTTGTATCAGTAATTTTTCTAATCTGCAATTCATCAGTTCATATGGCAGTGGCATCCTGGGTAGTGATTATTGTAACTTTGTAGCTAATTATGAAACTGTTTTGTTTAGGTTTTTTGGTGGATGCCCAGAGTTCTTTACATTTCTTTTTAAGATTTATTTATTTTTATGTGCATTGGTGTTTTGTTTGCCAGTATATCTGTGCAAGGGTGCCAGATTCCCTGGAACTGGAGTCACAGACAAGTTGTGAGCTGCCATGTGGGTGCTGGGAATCAAACCAGGCTCCCCTGGAAGAGCAGCCAGTGCTCTTACCTGCTGAGCCTCCTGACATTTCTTTATGGACTTTAGGTTCAGCTTACCAGTTTCCGCAAAGAAGCCAGCTGGTTTCAGTAGGAATGTGTTGAATCTGTTGGTCAGTTTAGGAGGGATTGCTGTCTGAGTCTTCCTGTAAAGAAAGATGGGGTAAACCATGAGGTTCATTTTTTTAAGTTAATTTTTTTTACAGTAACTGGTTTGTAAATTTCAAAATAGAAAACTTGAATTTATTTTGCTATTTAAAAATTTATTTTAAATTTGTTTGATTCTTTTTTTGTTTTGTTTTGTTTTTCAAGACAGGGTTTCTCTGTGTAGCCCTGGCTGTTCTGGAACTCGCTTTGTAAACCAGGCTGATCTCAAACCACCTGTCTCTGCTTCCCTTGTTTTTTGTTTTTTTGTTTTGTTTTGTTTTGTGTCCCCCCTCCCCCGAGGTTTCTCTGTAGCTTTTGGAGTCTGTCCTGGAACTCGCTCTGTGCTCTGTAGACCAGGCTGGCCTCGAACTCACAGAGATGCCCCTGCCTTCGAAGTGCTGGGATTAAAGGCGTGCGCCAGCACCGCCCAGTGTGTATGCATGTTTTGCTCACATTTATGTCTGTATACCATGTGGGTACCTGATGTCTACATAGGTCAGAAAAGGGCATTAGGCTCCCCTAGAACTAGAACTACAGATGGTTCTGAGTTGTCACGTTGGGAACCAAAGCTGAGTCCTCTGCAAGAACAAGTATTATTGATTCCTCTCTCCACACCCTTACTTTGTTATATTCTGAGATAAGTAAGGTCTTACATTATGTGCAGGCTTGCTTGGAACTTGGTATGTAGTCCAGGTTGACTCAACTCTGTTTTCATGCCTCTGCCTCCTAAGTGCTCACTTTAAAATCGTATGCCACCATACCCAGCTTTGGAATATTTTTATTTGTTTGTTTGTTTGTTTTGGGTTTTTGAGACAGGGTTCTTTGATTGTCCTGGAACTCATTTTGTAGACTAGTTTGGCCCCAAACTCACAAAGATCTGCCTGCCTTTGCCTCCTGAGTGCTGGAATTAAAGGTGTGTGCCAGTATGCCTGACTTGGAATCTATTGTTGCTGTTGTTATTATTTTCTTAAAGTAACAGCACATTATATTTTTAATTTTTAAAAAATTTTGTTGATTATTTGGGAGTCTTACATCATGGACCCCTATTATGCTTACCTGCCAGTCTTCCTGTGTCCACTCTCCTTCCCTCTGACTTCCCCCAAAACAGAACAAAAACCAAGTCCAGTTTTGTCTTCCATATATTCCCTGAAGCCTCAGTTCAGCCCTCAAGGGAGGCTGAGCCCTTCTCCACCTGCATCTGTACCAGAAGCCATGCGCTGAGGAGAGCTGAGCAATATAGAGCGGTGCCCATAGTGGCGCCTGGTGCCCATAGTGGTGCCTGTGCTTACAGAACCACCTGCATGGCCGTGCTGTGGGCTGGCAAGGGGCGGGGCCAGTGCTCCCTCGCTCACATACGTTAACGTGGCTTCAGGCTGCAGCCCAGACCACAGGCATCACGTGGACATCCATGGCAAACATGGCCCTTGGCCTTACCATGACCACTGACCCACCTCATGGCCCTCAGCGGCTGCAGGAACCACAGTCTCGTCATGGTCTCTGGTAGTTACACTGCCACTCACATCCGCATGGCTTACTTGGATGGTTTTCTGCTGCCCGGTGGCCAAGGGGATCCTATTTTTACTTTATTTAATTTATTTATTTTTAAATTTTATTTATTTATTTTGTACATAGTGTTCCACCTGCATGTATGTCTACATGCCAGAAGAAAGCACCAGATCTCATTACAGATGGTTGTGAGCCACCGTGTGGTTCCTGGGAATTGACCTCGGGACCTGTGGAAGAGCAGCCAGTGCTCTTTACCTCTGAGCCATCTCTCCAGCCCCCCTATTTTTATTTTTAAGATAGGATTTCACTTTGTAGTTCAGACTAGCCTGGAACTCCTGCCTCAGCCTCTCAGGTGCTAGGATTACAAGTGTGTGCTGCCACAGCCAGCTACAAATGGAATTTTGTTTATTATTATTATATTTATTTATGTGTACTGGGGGAGTATTGTGTACCTGTGTGCTGTGCGCATGTGCAAAGGCCAAAGAGGTCTCTGAGTGTCTTCTGTCATGTTTGCCTTTTCCGCCGAGGCAGGGGTCTCTCCCTAAACCTGAGGCCTGTCTTCTCTGAGTTATACTGGAAGCTCCCGAGCCCTGAAGACCTTTCCATCTCTGCCTCGCTTGAAGCTGGGGTCACATCACTTGTGGGGAAGCCAGTGTGTTACCTGGGGCTGGAATCTGAATCTTGGCCTCACGGTTTCAGAGAAGTGCTCCTAGCCACTGAGCCACCATCTCCCCTGTCAAGGTTTCATCTTTGGATTGCTGACTGCTAGGATGTGGGAAGACAGCCTGTTTGTACGTTGAGGTGGTGTCCTTCAGCCTCGCCGCTGTAGCAGCGGCGTTCCCTGGGGATTTTAGACTGCTCTCGCCGCTGTAGCCGCGGCGTTCCCTGGGGATTTTAGACTGCTCTCTACGCTAGGTTATGTCATCTGCAAATAGGCATTGCTTCACTTCTTCCTTTCCAAACGGAATGCCTTTAATTACTTTATTTATTTTCCTTACTCAGAGTAATTGCATGCCTCTTGAAGAAGATGAAGCTACCTCATAGTCTAGCAGGATAACCGTTGTAAACATCTTACTGTATGCCCTCCTCGATATATACCTGTACTTTTTAAAAAAAGAAAATGTTAGTACACGCTGTCCCATCCTCTCCTCCGCCCACACTGAATGACACATTGTAACGTCTTCTGTGTCTAGACCTATCAGCCTTTTAATGGCAGCATGATATTCCACTAAATGCAATGACTTACTGAATCCATTATCCATTGTTGCACATTTTGTCTGTTTTTCTTTTGTATCAATGTCTAATACTTGGCTGAGCATAGATGCTACCGAGTGTACATATGCTAGCGGTCAGAGATGTTTCAGCAGCTGGAAAAGGCCATGCCGAGCAGAGCCTTCAGTCCTTCTTCCCGTGGGGACTGCGTGACTGGCTCAGAGTGCATCCTTCCGGTCACTTTTCCATCAAGTTACATAGTGTGGTTGAGTGTGTGCTGGTGTGGTTGTGTGTCGCTTAGCTGACTTTGTTGTTAGGATGAATTCCTAGAAGCAGATTAAATAGGTCCAAGAGTAATGCATTTTGGGGTTGGGCTGTAGCTCAATTGGTAGTGCTTGTCTAGCGTGCATGAAGACCTGAGTCTGGTCCCCAGCTCTGCCTACACGGAGTAATGGGAGTCCATTTCCAACTCTTCTGAGCTGAATCACCAGTTTGTCACCTGGTAAGCTGGTGCTCACAGTATGCTCCTTCCTCCTGGGAGTGAGGCTGTGTTTTAGCTAAACAGTGCGGTCCTCATTGCAGGTGTACCTGAAGGGGAGGCCAGGAGACAAGATGATCCACGAGAAGAACATCGACCAGCTGAAGAGTGAGGTCCAGTACATTCAGGAGGTGCGGACCCTGTTCCTGGGAAGGAGGGAGGGAGCACCTAGAGTCCCTGAACCTAAATCTGGGGGGCTCCCTTTTTTCTTTTTCTGCTCCCTTTGTGTCACTGCAGTGCCCATGGCCTCCTATGTGTCATATACATTATTTATTTATTTCTACTTGTTATTTGTTTTCTGAGACAGGATCTCTGTTGGAGCCCTGGCTGTCCTGGAACTCCGTATGCAGGCCTCTGTTTCCCGAGTGCTGTCAGATAGCATTCTTGATCTTTGGATCTAATCCACTAATCAACAAATGATCACGTGTCCTGTACCAGGCCAGCTGTATGGCTGTTTGGCTGTGTAGTCCGCCACCTTCCCCAGTGTTTCCCAGCCCCTGCCTGACTGGTGCTCCTCCTTAGCACTTGTCACTGGATTCCACACTGCGCATCTTATTTGTCTTTTCAGCTAGCATGTCGGTGCTGCCAGGGGAGGGGGTCATCTTGTTGCTAGGGCAGGAGAGACTAGGTTGTCACCTCCCCCGAGCACAATTCCTGTCTGCATCCCCTGGCAGCACAATGTCACACTGAAAGCAGTATGGATCGGGGATATGACCTAGAGGTTTGCTTTCCCTGCCCTGAGCCTCAAGTGTCTCGGCCTTCTTTTCCCCAGGCCAGGAACTGCTTGCAGAAGCTCCGGGAGGATATAAGTAGCAAGCTTGACAGGAGTCCGGGAGACCCTCTGCAGCGGCAGGAGATCCAGGTACTTGGGAATGGTGCTGACTCCCTAGCATGGCCAGGAAGGGAGGGCGCAGTAGGGCTCCGGCTTCCTGAGAACTCACAGAAATAGGGCTCCAGCATGTAGCCTTGGACAATCACCTAGGTATTCAAACTTCTCGTAAGTTGCTCTTGCCGAATTTGGGTGAGCCTAAGTAGAAATGGAAGTCTTTTTTTATATATAAAGATTTATTATTTCTGTATTTTTTTATTTTATTTTTTATTTTGAGACAAGATTTTTCTATGCAGCCCTAGCTGTCTTAGAACTCACTATGTAGACCAAGATGGCCTGGAACTCACAGAGATCCACTAGCCTCTGGCTCTCAAGTGCTAGGATTAAAGGTGTGTACTACCACACCCAACTAACATTTATTATTTTTATTTTATGTGTATGAGTCTTTGCCTGTCTGTGTGTATATGTACCGTGTCTGCACCCAGTGTTCCGGAAGGCCAAGAGTGTCAGATCCCTGGAACTGAAGTCACAGGTGGTTATGAGCTGCCATATGGGTGCTGGGACTTGCGGGTCTCTCCAGTCCCAAAGTGGAAGTCTTGATCCAGTCTATTTGTGTGTGCAGTTATCTCAACCCTGGTCAAGGAAACTCCATCCTGTCCCTGTATCCTTAGCCTGCCCATGTAGGAAACAGAGGCATCAGCAATGCAGGAGCAAACACTATGTAAATCTCTGGGAGAGTAGTGTGGGATTCTGCTCTCCAGCCTTCTCAAAGTTCCCGAACAGAAATGGCCTCAGAAGCAGAGCAAGTCCTCTTAATGCCTCACTCTGGCTCCTGAGACTTGAGTTTGGGTCAGATGATCTTTCTCCAGCAGCAGCCCCCTCCCTGTTCTGAGCCACTGGTGCCAAAAGGGCTC